TTTGCGTAGCGTACGAACCCCGCTGGCGTAGCGTACGCCGCGGCGGGCAGAGCGGTGTCGGGGCGTACGCAGTCTGCGCAGCCGGCAGGGGGCGCTGTTCAATGGGCGCCGGGGGGGGCGGGCCACCGCGGGATCGAGTCCCGCCCCCGCCCGTGACGTACCGGGCTTTGTGAATCGCGGGGCCGAAGTTCGGTTGAGGCTCGGGAGGGTAAATAAGGGTGTCTCGGAGACAAAGAGGCTCTTAAAGGGGCGGCGCGGGGGCCCCCGAGGGGGTGGCGTGGGGTGGGAGGTACCCCACGGCGGCCCTGAGGTGATGGGGTTGCTGAGGGGATGGCGGGAGCGCGCCCCACGGGGGTCCCTGAGGTGAGGGGGGGCACAAGGGGGAGGCTGTGAGGGCTTTGAGGTGATGGATGCCTTGAGATGGAGATCCTGAGGCAATGAGGGGGAACCCCGGCGGGGAGCAAGGGAGTTCTGAGTGATGAAGACCCTGAGGGGGAACCCCAAAGGGTCCTTGAGGTGATGGGGAGACCATGGAGTCGGGGGGTGTGGGGGCTCTGAGGTGATGGTGACCCCCAGGTGATGGGGGGGATACCGCAAAGGGTCTCTGAAGTGGTGAGGGGACACCCCAAAGTGTCCATGAGGTGATGAGGGGACACCCCAAAGGGTCCATGAGGTGATGAGGGGACACCCCAAAGGGTCCCCACAGACCCCCTTGGACCCTTCCCATCATCTCAGGGACCATAAGGTGATGAAGAACCTGGGGTGGGGGCTCTGAGAAAATGGGGTCACACCCCACACGGCCCCTGAGGTGACAGGGACCCCAAGGTGATGGTGGCATCAGTGCCTGGCCCATTTTGACCCTGTACCTGCACACAAATCCACACTGGCACAGCTGCAATGAGCCTACAACCTCTTAAAAATTAAAACCGAAGAGTAACAATCCTCACTCTCTTTGTGAGATTAAAAAAATGCCACAGCACAAGAACAAAAGCCCCAAAAATCCTCTGGTGGCAGCGAGACTTGGGGCTGGCTCTGCCACTGAAGCACTCATGACCCTGATGACATCACCTGTAGAAATAAACAAATATAAATAATAAACCATGCAAGGGTGAGGCCTCCATTGCCAAAATCCCTCTTGGGAATGAATTTCATTCCCAATTTAGCGAACGAAACAACACTGGCAGAGGTTTTGAGAGGTGCAGAAGCAGAAAAAAAAGGATCCACGATGGAGCAGGATCTCAGCATGGCCACCTCTACCTCAACCAACCTTCCAAACTGGGATTTGACAGCCAAAATGAGGATTTTTTTTCAGGGAAAAAGAGTAATTTTGGCCATCAAGGGAGTGAAAGGAGCAGCTGATTCCTCGTTTCTAGAAAGCAGCAACAAGATTTGCTGGGACATAAAGGACCAAATCCTCCTCATCCTCATTCTCTGGAAACCCACTGACGTCAAGGGGTTAATTAAAGGCAGAACGTGGCTCCAGGGGTCCCTTTCTGGAGCTCCAGGAACAGCACAATGAATTCAGAAAATCCCAGGAATCCCCAGGGATTCCAGCACACACTTCCATGGTTTTTAGGCACACGAGCAGAGTTTTGACATCTCTGGTTACAGAATTAACAAAGCATTCCCGACATTCACCATGACTAATCTGCTCATTAACTGTTTTTTTTTTTTTAAACTTTAAGGGTTTTAATGGGAAACAGGACAGGGATAACCATCCCTATAAATCCCAGTTTGTTCCTTAAAGTTTTCCCAGTTTAGCTACATGGAAGGACAGTGAATTTTCACCACTGAACAGTCATGAACTTGGGGCTAAGAGCTGCAAAAAATTCAGTGTATTTTTACCTCACGTAGGGGACATTATGCCATTTCTTATGGCTCATGAACCATCTCTTTCTGGGCCCTGTGCTGATTAAATTTATTAAATCTTCACAACTAAGAGCTCTGAGCACTCTAACAGTTAATTAGGTTTGCAAGTATAAACAATGGAGTGTTACATTTATAAAATACAACAAAACAGTTCTCAGCCAGAAAATCAAGCCACAAATCAGCTTTTTTTTTTTTTTCCTTTTTGCTTCATATAAAAGCCTGTTTAAGACAAATTATTTCTGTTTTCTTTGCTCTTCAGACATGTATGGGCAAGGAACCAACAATATTTTTTCTGGAATGTTGGTGCCTTCCCAGGAACATGAAGGAAAAAAAATACATTGAAGTGATATCATTATGTCATACAATGAATTTTTGGCTTTTATTGCCCAAATCCTTCCTTATTCCATTGAATCTGAAGCCATCAGGAATTCTCAAATGGTGTGCAGGGACGGGATATTTATTATCTACCTTAAAAACAATGGGATAAAACAGCTGGAATTCTCTCAGTGCCAGACAAAGCTCCTGCCAGGCTTATTTATTTTATTTTTTAATTTATCCAGAGCCTTCAACTGGGAGGCAGCAGATTTTGACATTCCCATCAGCTACAGAGGATGAAGGCAAGGTAAGAACGTGCCAGGAACAGGAAAAGTGGGGAATTCCTGGATTTTTTTCCCAGGGAAATGTTTGCTTTGGGAGCATAGAGCAAATCCAAGTGAAGGCTGGAAATTCACAACACAAACCACCAAACCCTATCCTTTTATTGGGATAAAATACAACAAAACACTGATGTGGACATAAAAAAAATAGAAATTTAAGAGATGTCTGTATTCTCCTGGAATTTCTCCTTTCAGTGTCCAAAAAACCACAGAACCAATGGATCCAAGGGAGGCGGCCTATCCTTTTATTGGGATAAAATACAACAAAACACTGATGTGGACATAAAAAAAATAGAAATTTAAGAGATGTCTGTAACTTTCTGGAATTTCTATTTTCCCTGCATGGAACACTGTCCAAAAAACCACAGAACCAATGGATCCAAGGGAGGCAGCAGATTTTGACATTCCCATCAGGTACAGAGGATGAAGGCAAGGTAAGAACGTGCCAGAACAGGAAAATTAGGGAATTCCTGGATGTTTTTCACAGGGAATTGTTTGCTTTGGGAGCATAAAGCAAATCCAAGTGAAGGCTGGAAATTCACAACACAACTCTCACTGCAGGGACAACTCCTCCCAAAACCCAGCCTTTTATTGGGATGAAATACAACAAAACACTACTGTGGATATATTAAAAAAAATAGAAATTGAAGAGATGTCTGTAACTTTCTGGAATTTCTCTTTTCCCTGTGGATAAACAGCAATTCCCTGCATGAAACATTGTCCAAAAAACCACAGAACCAATGGATCCAAGGGAGGCGGCCTATCCTTTTATTGGGATAAAATACAACAAAACACTGATGTGGACATAAAAAAAATAGAAATTTAAGAGATGTCTGTAACTTTCTGGAATTTCGATTTTCCCTGCACCAAACACTGTCCAAAAAACCACAGAACCAATGGATCCAAGGGAGGCAGCAGATTTTGACATTCCCATCAGCTACTGAGGATGAAGGCAAGGTAAGAACGTGCCAGAACAGGAAAATTAGGGAATTCCTGGATGTTTTTCACAGGGAATTGTTTGCTTTGGGAGCATAAAGCAAATCCAAGTGAAGGCTGGAAATTCACAACACAAACCACCAAACCCTATCCTTTTATTGGGATAAAATACAACAAAACACTGATGTGGACATAAAAAAATAGAAATTTAAGAGATGTCTGTATTCTCCTGGAATTTCTCCTTTCAGTGTCCAAAAAACCACAGAACCAATGGATCCAAGGGAGGCAGCCTATCCTTTTATTGGGATAAAATACAACAAAACATTGATGTGGACATAAAAAAATAGAAATTTAAGAGATGTCTGTAACTTTCTGGAATTTCGATTTTCCCTGTACCAAACACTGTCCAAAAAACCACAGAACCAATGGATCCAAGGGAGGCAGCAGATTTTGACATTCCCATCAGGTACAGAGGATGAAGGCAAGGTAAGAAGGTGCCAGGAACAGGAAAATTAGGGAATTAGGGATTCCCTTAAAAAATCCCTTAGGGAATTCCTGGATTTTTTTCACAGGGAATTGTTTGCTTTGGGAGCATAAAGCAGATCCAAGTGAAGGCTGGAAGTTCACAACACAACTCTCACTGGAGGGACACAAAACCCAGCCTTTTATTGGGATGAAATACAACAAAACACTGCTGTGGACATAAAAAAAATAGAAATTGAAGAGATGTCTGTAACTTTCTGGAATTTCTCTTTTCCCTGTGGATAAACAGCAATTCCCTGCACCAAAGATTGTCCAAAAAACAACAGAACCAATGGATCCAAGGGAGGCAGCCTATCCTTTTATTGGGATAAAATACAACAAAACATTGATGTGGACATAAAAAAAATAGAAATTTAAGAGATGTCTGTAACTTTCTGGAATTTCGATTTTCCCTGCACCAAACACTGTCCAAAAAACCACAGAACCAATGGATCCAAGGGAGGCAGCAGATTTTGACATTCCCATCAGGTACAGAGGATGAAGGCAAGGTAAGAAGGTGCCAGGAACAGGAAAATTAGGGAATTAGGGATTCCCTTAAAAAATCCCTTAGGGAATTCCTGGATTTTTTTCACAGGGAATTGTTTGCTTTGGGAGCATAAAGCAGATCCAAGTGAAGGCTGGAAGTTCACAACACAACTCTCACTGCAGGGACAACTCCTCCCAAAACCCAGCCTTTTATTGGGATGAAATACAACAAAACACTGCTGTGGACATAAAAAAATAGAAATTGAAGAGATGTCTGTAACTTTCTGGAATTTCTCTTTTCCCTGTGGATAAACAGCAATTCCCTGCATGAAACATTGTCCAAAAAACCACAGAACCAATGGATCCAAGGGAGGCAGCAGATTTTGACATTCCCATCAGGTACAGAGGATGAAGGCAAGGTAAGAATGTGCCAGGAACAGGAAAATTAGGGAATTCCTGGATTTTTTTCCAGGGAATTGTTTGCTTTGGGAGCATAAAGCAAATCCAAGTGAAGGCTGGAAATTGAAAATAGAAATTTAAGAGATGTCTGTAACTTTCTGGAATTTCTATTTTCCCTGCATGGAACATTGTCCAAAAAACCACAGAACCAATGGATCCAAGGAAGGCAGCAGATTTTGACATTCCCATCAGCTACAGAGGATGAAGGCAAGGTAAGAACATGCCAGGAACAGGAAAATTAAGGAATTCCTGGATTTTTTTCCCAGGGAATTGTTTGCTTTGGGAGCATAAAGCAGATCCAAGTGAAGGCTGGGAGTTCACAACACAACTCTCACTGCAGGGACACAAAACCCTATCCTTTTATTGGGATGAAATACAACAAAACACTGCTGTGGATATTAAAAAAAAATAGAAATTGAAGAGATGTCTGTATTTTCCTGGAATTTCTCCTTTCAGTGTCCAAAAAACCACAGAACCAATGGATGCAATAATCCCAAACCGTGCAGGGCTCCCAGAATTACCCCCGGCACAGCTTCGAAACGGGGAAATCTCCGGAAGGAAAAGCTCCTGTGGCTCATTTTGGGGGAGCTGCTGGTGCAGGCAGGCTGAGGATGCAGTCAGGAGCTGCAGGGGCTGCTCCTCACCTGATGCCAGCCACGGGCACCTGCTGCTGCTTGCGGATCTTGTTGAAGAGCTCCATGTACTGCACCATGGTGTCCCCGGGGCTGTAGGTGCTGTCGTGCTTGGAGCCGAACACCGACGGGAGCCCGGGCGTGTGGCTGCCCATGAAGCTCTGCATGAACTCCATCAGCAGGTTCCAGCAGTCGTTGGCGATCACACAGGGGCAGTATTCCACCTGGGAACACATCCCCACAGGCTTGGAACTGCTCATAGGGACAGAATTCCACCTGGGAACACATCCCAGAGCTCTGGAGCTGCTCACAGGGACAGTATTCCACCTGGGAACACAGCCCAGAGCTCTGGAGCTGCTCACAGGGACAGTATTCCACCTGGGAACACAGCCCAGAGCCCTGGAGCTGCTCACAGGGGCACAATTCCACCTGGGAACACATCCCAGAACCCTGGAGATGGTGGCAGGGGCACAATTCCACCTGGGAACACAGCCCAGAGCTCTGGAGATGGTGGCAGGGGCAGAATTCCACCTGGGCAGAATTCCAGAACACAGCCCAGAGCTCTAGACCAGCTCAAAGGGGCAGAAATCCACCTGGGAACTCATCCCTACAGGCTTGGAGATGGGGTCAGGGGCAGAATTCCACCTGGGAATACATCCCTACAGGCTTGGAGCTGGAATCAAGAACAGTGTTCCACTTGGGAACACATCCCCACAGGCTTGGAGCTGCTCACAGGGGCAGAATTCCACCTGGGAACACAGCCCAGAGCCCTGGAGCCTCCCTGCAGGGAAGGCTTTTCATGGAAACATCTCAAAATATTCAGCATCTAACAAGGATGGGTAAATGCAAACAGGACAGGAGATGCTGGGAGCATGCCAGAGACCCTTTCCAAAGGGAAGGGAAGGTAAAATGCAAAGGGAAGGACAGCAAGCCCCAACTCAGCATGGAATTAGCACTGGAGAGGTTGTTTTATCCATTATTACCATGATGGTTAACATGAGGGATGGTGTTTGTGCTGTGCAGCTGGAATTTCATCAGCTTTTTATCTGGATGGAATTCCTGCAGGGATTCCCACTGCAGGGACAGCCCTGCAGCACCAAGGATTAAACCTCAGGAGAGGAGATCCAAACCTGCCTGCTGCACCAGCAACACAGCTGAGACACAGACAGGACAGGGAATTCCAGAATCGTGGAATGGTTTGGGGAAGGGACCTTAAAGCTCATCCAGGGCACGGACACCTCCCACTGTCCCAGGCTGCTCCAAGTCCCCTGCTCTTGGACACTTCCAGGGATCTGGGGGCAGCCACAGCTGCTCTGGGACATCTATTCCAGGGTGTTCCCACCCTCCCAGGGAAGAATTTCTTCCCACTATCCCATCCATCCCTGCCCTCTGGCAGTGTGAAGCTTTTCCTGCAACTCCACGCCCTTGTCACTAAATCTCCTCTCTCCACCTTCCCCGCTGGCTCGCTTCAGACACCCTCAATTCCACCACCCCTAAACCTTCTCCAGCTTCTCCCACGGCATCCCCCTGCCCATCCCTGAATTCCCCACCCTTCCCACAGGGCTCTCACCTCCACGGAGATGCCCCTGGCGCTGGGGCCCATGGTGACCGTGCCCAGCTTCACCAGGAAGTCGCAGTACTGGTAGCGGGTGCCGCGGCTCTCGATCTTGTTGGCCTTGGCGTTCTGGAAGAAGCCCTTGAGCTTCACCATGAGGGTGTCAAAGTTGGCATCGGCCACCAGGCAGGGCCCGTTCTCGAAGAGGGCGAAGCAGCTCAGGGGGTACTCAGAGTTGTGCATGACGTACATCAGCTTCCCTGTCTGCCCTGCAATCACAGCCAGGGCTGCAAAAACAAATTCTCTCGGATTCTCTGCTGCTCAGAACGACCCCAAGATGCATCTTTTACCCCGGTGCTGCCCAGGATTTCTTTTCCCCTATAAATTTCCATAAGAAAACCCAAGCTGTTCCCTGAATGGACGCCATAACAAGCACGTGAGGATCCAGAATTAAAGCAAGGATGAGAGGCAGGAAGAGGAGCTGCTTTAAGGCAGGAATTTTATGGGAACGCTTTTCCCAGCCCAGCGCTCGAAGAAGAAGCCAGAGCTCTTCAGTTCTTGGTCTCAAGGTTGTTTATTGTTCCCCATCTATAAAATTTTTTCTCTTATCTAGCTGAGGTCTGCTCAGCAGGACAGACAGAAGCACTCTGCCTGCCCCTGGGGCAGTGCTATGTCTTTATAATAAAAACTACATCTACAATATAAAAACTACATCTACAATATTTACAATTACTTTCCAACACCTATCACCTATGTTAGACACTGAGCTGCCACTCTAAACCAATCTAAAAGTGCCAACATCACCCAGAAGATGGAGGCCAAGAAGAAGGAGGAGAAAGGCTGGATATGCCCTAATTCCTCCATCTTGCCCCCTGAACCTCCATTCTAAAAACCCCAAAAAATCTATTTTTCACCCTGTAATAAATTCACTAGCATTCTACTTAAACTTTCGTGGCTTGTAATCTTTCATATAAAGGTTGGTAATTGTTTTTATCAAGGGCTAAATCAAAGGCACAGGGGGCCAGGGCTCTGTGCCAAGGTCTCTGAGCTTCTGGGTAGGGTCTCGAGCCCTCCAAGGCAGCCAGAGGAATCTCCTGGGTTCCCACAAAATTCCTGCCTTAAAGCAGGAATTCCTCTTCCTGCCTCTCCTCCTCCTTGCTTTAATTCTGGATCCTCATGTGTTTATTATGGTATCCATTCAGGGAAGAGTTTGGATTTTCTTATGGAAATTTATAGGGGAAAAAAAGAAAATCCTCGGCAGCACCGGGATAAAACATCAGCACGGCTCGGGGTGAGGTGAGAGGAGAACCCCAGGAGCACCCACCTCCCACCCACTGCCCGGAGGGAGCCTGGGCTTGGCCTCTGCTCTGTGTTCCAGCTGCCAAAAAAGCAGGAAAAAGCTGCTCTGGAACATTCCAATGGGTCTGGCTGGGAACAAGGGCTCAGCAGAGCCAGGGCTGTGACCACATCAGTGCCTGGAAGGGATGGGGGGAGCCAGGGGAGGAGGGAAAAGGAAAAAAGGAGGGAAAGAGGGAAAAGGAAAACGGGAAAAGGGGACAGGGAAAAGGGACAAAGGAATTGTAGAATCATCGACTAATGAAAGTTGGAAGAGACCCTCAAGATCAGCCAGTCCAGCACTGCCACTGTAACTCCTAAACCCCTAAACCCCATCAAGCAGCATCAGATCCAGGCGCGCTCCAGGGCAGGTGGGGAAGGAGGAGAGAAGGAGGAAAAGGATGGGAAGGAAAAGGCAAAGAGGAGCTTGGAGAAGGGCTCTGCTGACCCTGCGTGCCGAGGGCGGCCGCGGTGTGATAGGTCTCGCAGTCCACGCCGAACGTGCCCTGCTTGTCCGCGCCCAGCGCCTCCAGCCGCCGCGCCAGCAGCTCCACCGTCTGCTGCACGCTCTTGCCCTCGGCCACCGGCACCTGCGACACGCTGCGACACGGGCCGGGGCTCGGGGACCCACCGGGACACCGCCCGCGTCCCCGGCTCTGCTCCGCATCCCCCGCCCGGAGATTCTCCCCGCGCCCCCGGGGCTGCCCGCGCCGGGAGCCCGCTCGGCTCCGTCCCCCCTGCCAGGAGCCTTTCCCGGTTCTGCCCCCCCCCCCGCCAGGAGCCTTTCCCGGTTCTGCCCCCCCCATGCCAGGAGCCCTTCCCGGTTCTGCCGCCTATTCCAGGAGCCCTTCCCGGTTCTACCCCCCTATTCCAGGAGCCTTTCCCGGTTCTGTACCCCCATTCCAGGAGCCCTTCCCGGTTCTGCCCCCCTACTCCAGGAGCCCTTCCCGGTTCTGCCCCCCTATTCCAGGAGCCTTTCCCGGTGCCGCCCCCCATGCCAGGAGCCTTTCCCGGTTCTGCCCCCCTATTCCAGGAGCCCTTCCCGGTGCCGCCCCCCCCATTCCGGGAGTCTATCCCGGTCCCACCCCGCCATTCTAGGAATCTATCCCGGTTTCATCTCTATTCCAGGAGCCCTTCCAGGTTCTGCCCCCCATTCCAGGAGTCTATCCCGGTGCCACCCCCCTATTCCAGGAGTCTATTATCCCGGTTCCACCCCGCCATTCCAGGAATCTATCCCGGTTCCATCTCCATTCCAGGAGCCCTTTCCGGTGCTCTCCCCCCGTTCCGGATCCCCCGCTCTCACCAGGTGACCCCCATGGTGCCGGTGCCGCCGCCGGAACGGGCGGGGCCAGCGGCACCGGGAAGAGGCGGATCCGCGCCGGAAGAGGCGGGGGCAGATCCCGCGTGTCGTTGCCCGGTGCCGCTGCGCCGTCCCCCGGTTCCGCCGCGATGCCCAAGGCCCGGCGGGCGCGGGGCTCCGGCCCGGCCCCGGCGCTGCCCTTGGCCGAGCAGATCCTGCAGGACGCGGCCCCGCGGCTCCGGGCGCGGGAGAAGCGCGGGGCGGAGGAGCCGGGCGGGGATGGCGGCGGGGACGGGTTCGTGGACGCGCGGCTGTCCCGGCGCATCCTGGAGCAGGCGCGGCGGCAGCAGGAGGAGCTGGAGGCCGAGCACGGCCCCGGAGCGCCCGCAGCCCCCCGGCAGCGCAGCGCGGTTCTCGGTGAGCCAAAAAAAACCCCAAACGCCAATCGCTTGTTTATAAAAAATTTAAAAGTTTATTCGTAATAAAATGGTTATAAAAGTAGTAATACAATTAGAGTAATAATAATTTGGGCAACTTGAATTAGGACAATATGAGACAATAGAGACGAAGAGTTACGGGCTTTTTGGGTACTTTTTGGGTCCGGGTACCTCTCTCTGGGCAGCACGAGCACGAAAAAGGACCCACGTTAAACAGAAGATTAACCCTTAAAAGCAACAGCCTGTTGCATGTTCATACACTTCATGCATGATGCATAAATTCCATTCAAACACAGGATTCTGTCTGGGCAGTGTCAGCTTCTTCCTCTGAATCCTGACAGCACCTTTGAGGCAGGAAGAAGTTCGTTTCTTCTGATAAGAGGGCAATAAATTCTCTTTCTCTGAAAGATTCAGGTGTCCTGTGGCTGCTATTTCACTGCAAGTCCTTTCTTTTAAAAAAAAAAAAGTATCTTACATAGCATAGCTTCTATTTTAACATTTTTTATAACCCAAAACTATATTTAACACAGTACTTAAGACAATCAATGCAGCATCACTTTCTAACACAACACGTATAATCTTCATTTTAATATTTGCGAAAAGCCAATCATAAAATACATGCATTTTTCACACCCCGGTAACCCTTGGTAAACCCCCGAGGGTGTGTGGCACCCCGAGGGTGGCTGAGCCAGCGCTGCTCCCCGCAGGTCCCGGCTCAGACTCGGAGGATGATGAGGAGTGGCCTTCGCTGGAGAAGGCAGCAGCGGCCGCGGGACGGAGCGGGGACTACGGCGGGGAGGTGGAGGTGGACCCCGAGGACGAGAAAGCCATCGAGATGTTCATGAACAAGAACCCGCCCCTGAGGTGAGAGCACCGGGCAGGGGCCGCCTCCCTGCACCGGCTGTGCCTGTCCTGTGTCAGCCCCTGCGGCCCCCGAGTCACCCCTGGTCCTGTCTCAGTCCCTGTCCCGTGGCAGCCCCCAGGTCACCCCCATCCCACGTGATGTGATCCCCTCGTGTCATCCCCCTGTGACCCCCTGGTCCATGCACAGACCCCAGCTCGCCCCCCTCCCTGGTCAGCCCCTGGCTCACCCCTGTCCCTGCCATCCCCCCAATTCCCCACTGCCCCTGTCCCTGCCAGCCCTCCCATGTCCCTTAGATGCTGTCCCCTGCCAGCCCTCCCATGTCCCCCCTGTCCCTGCCAGCCCTCCATGTCCCCCTGGTCCCTGCCAGCCCTCCATGTTCCCCCTGATGCTGTCCCCTGCCAGCCCTCCATGTCCCCCCTGTCCCCTGCCAGCCCTCCCATGTCCCCCTGGTCAATGCCAGCCCTCCAAGTCCCCCCTGCCGCTGTCCCCAGGCGCACGCTGGCCGATATCATCATGGAGAAGATCACGGAGAAGCAGACGGAGGTGGAGACGGCGCTGTCGGAGCTCTCAGGCTGCCCCATGCCCCAGCTTGACCCCCGTGTTCTGGAGGTCTACAGGGGCGTCAGGGAGGTGAGGATGGAACATCCAAACCCACAGCCACCACCACCCTGAGGTGACAACGCTCTCTTGTCCCTGCTGTCACTTGCCCCAGTCACAGCCTGGTCCCTGTCCCTGTCTCTGAAGGTGCTGTCCAAGTACAGGAGTGGGAAGCTCCCCAAGGCGTTCAAAATCATCCCTGCCTTGTCCAACTGGGAGCAGATCCTCTACATCACTGAGCCAGAGACGTGGACAGCTGCTGCCATGTACCAGGCCACCAGGTAAGGTCACCTCAGGGATCCTCTGGCATGGCATTTTTGGGGGTTTTATTCCCATAACCAGAATCAGATTCACGAAACACCAACCTGCCCATTTGGCCTCCTTTCCTCATCCATCCCTTCATGCTTTGCTGATCCCAGGATATTTTCCTCCAACCTGAAGGAGAGGATGGCCCAGAGGTTCTACAACCTGGTGCTGCTGCCGCGGATCCGGGACGACATCGCCGAGTACAAGAGGCTCAACTTCCACCTGTACATGGCTCTGAAGAAGGCCCTGTTCAAACCAGCAGCCTGGTTCAAGGGTAGGGGTCCTGCAGGGTCTCCTCTGGGGCTTGGCTGGCTCCTGAGGGGCTGGTGCATGGCAGGGGTGTCCAGGTGCTCCTGCAGGAGTGGGGGTTTCTAGGGGGAAGGGGCTGAGCCTGTGCGTGGAGGTGGTTGGTGCCTGACTGTGGTGGTGTTCACAGGGGTCCCAGGACAAGGGAAGGGATGAGAATCTTGACTACTCCATGTTCAGAAGGCTGGTTTATTATTTTATGATATATATTATATTAAAAGTAAATGATCTATTTAAGCTATACTAAAAGAATAGAAGAAAGGATTTCATCAGAAGTTAGCAAGCAAGAATGGAAACAAAAGTTTGTGTCTGACTGAGAGTCCGAGCCAGCTGGGCTGTGATTGGCCATTAATTAAAAACAATCCCATGAGACCAATCCCAGATGCACCTGTTGCATTCCACAGCAGCAGACAACCATTGTTTGCATTTTGTTCCTGAGGCCTCTCAGCTTCTCAGGAGAAAAAATCCTAAGGAAAGGCTTTTTCATGAAATGTGTGACTGTTGCCATTGCAGGGATCCTCATCCCGCTGTGCGAGTCTGGCACCTGCACGCTCAGGGAGGCCATCATCATCGGCAGCATCCTCAGCAAGTGCTCCATCCCCGTCCTGCACTCCAGGTGAGGCCCTGAGGGGCTGGGGGGGAAGAGCTTTTCCTCCAGGGACCCTGGGAAGCTCCTTGGATCCAGCCCTCAGCCTCTCCAGCCCTCGGAGGTGATGAGCGGTCACTCAGCTCCCTCTGGGGTTGAGCTCCAAGGCTCAGCTTTGTGCCTGAGTGCTCCATGGTCCAGTCCAGTTCCCCCTGAGCCCTGTGGTCCCTCCTCTGTCCCCATGGCTCCAGCCCCTGTGACTCTGTGCTCCAGCCTTGGTCACTGTGGCTCCACCCTGGCCCCTCTTTTGTCCATTCCTTGGTCCCCGTGACTTCAACCCAGCATCCCCTGACCTGTGCCCATTCTTCTGTCCCCATGGCTCTGTCCCCTGACCCTGAGCCCTCTGTGTCTGTTCCCCATGGCTCCATGCCCTGATCCCTCGCCTCTCCTGTGTCCCCATGGCTCTGTCCCCTGGCTCTTCAGCCCCTCCTGTGTCCCCGTGGTTCTGTCCCCTGACCCCTCACCTCTCCTGTGGCTCTGTCCCCTGGCCCCTCACCCTGTTCTGTGTCCCTGTGGCTCTGTGTCCTGACTCTAAGCCCCTCCCTGGTCCCTGTGGCTCCATCCCCTGACCCCTCACCACTCCTGTGTCCCTGTCCCCTCACCACTCCTGTGTTCCCATGGCTCCATCCCCTGACCCTTGACTGCTCCCATGTCCCTGTCCCCTGACCCCTCACTTTTCCTGTGTCCCTGTGACTCTGTCCTGACTCTGAGCCCTTCCCTGTCCCCATGTCCCACCCCCTGAGCTGTCCCCTGAGCTGTCCCCTGTCCCCATGTCCCATCCCCTGACCTTTCCCCTGTCCCCCATGTCCCACCCCCTTGAGCTGTCCCCTGTCCCCATGCCCCACCCGCTGAGCTGTCCCCATGCTGTCCCTCCCTCAGTGCAGCCCTGCTGAAGCTGGCAGAGATGCAGTACAGCGGTGCCAACAGCATCTTCCTGCGCCTGCTCATCGACAAGAAATACGCGCTGCCCTTCCGCGTGCTGGACGCCCTGGTGTTCCACTTCCTGGCCTTCCGCTCGGAGCAGCGGCTCCTGCCCGTGCTGTGGCACCAGAGCCTGCTGGCCCTGGCGCAGCGCTACAAGGAGGACCTGTCCTCAGAGCAGAAGGAGGCTCTGCTGGAGCTGCTCAAGTTCCACAGCCACCCCCAGATCTCGCCCGAGATCCGCCGGGAGCTGATGAACTCCGGGACCAGGGACGTGGAGGGGGAGCAGGTGCTGGCCATGGAGTGAGCGAGCAGGGAAGGGCTGGAGCCTGGCCTGGGCCTGGGGTGCTGCTGGGAGCCTGGAGCTGGAGCATCCCTGCTGGATCCTGCTGCTCTGAGCAGTCCCTGGCACAGGCTGTGCCCTCAGAGCTGGACTGTGCTGCTGTCACTGCCACCCAGGAGCCCGGTGCTGCCAGCACGGGGACACTCTGGGCTGTTCCTGGGCACTCTGGGCCATTCCTGGTCACTCTGGGCCGTTCCTGGGCACTCTGGCCCGTTTCTGGACACTCTGGCCCGTTCCTGGTCACTCTGGCCCGTTCCTGGGTACTCTGGCCCATTTCTGGTCACTCTGGCCCGTTCCTGGTCACTCTGGCCCGTTCCTGGTCACTCAGGCCCGTTCCTGGTCACTCTGGCCCGTTCCTGGTCACTCTGGCCCGCTCCTGGTCACTCTGGCCCGCTCCTGGTCACTCTGGCCCGTTCCTGGTCACTCAGGCCCGTTCCTGGACACTCTGGCCCGTTCCTGGGCACTCTGGCTTGTTCCTGTACTCTGAAATAAAACCAGAGCCGTGTCAGTCAGTCAGGGCTGGCTCTGCCCCGTGTGCTCCCAGCCTGTCCCTGTCCCCACCAGCTTCTGGAGCTCCTTGCCCATGGATTTTCCCCAACAAAGCCCCCCAGGGTTTGTTTCCTGAAGCCACAGGGCCACCGTCCTCACCTGCCATGAGGCCACCTGCCCGGCCTGCTCCTGGTGCTGTGCCTGAGTGGTGCCACCTCTGCTTGCTGGAAAACCCAGGGGGGACTTTTCCACCAGGCTGCACTTCCCTGTGCCCTGCAGCCACTGTCACTGCCAGGGCTGTGCCCTGCAGCTTTGGGCCACAGAGAGGAGCCCCTGCTGCACCCTGAGCTGTGCCCAGGGCAGCTGCCCCCTGTTGTCACCTCCGAGGTCCCCACACCCCTCAGCCGTTTCTGTGACTTGCTGATTTTATCTGATTTGAAAGAAGCCAGAGCTGATGAGCACAGGAGGGAGCCTGGGCTGGCACAGAGCTCCTGGCACTGTCCTGGCACCCCCTGAGCTGCTGCAGTGCCCCTCAGCCTCCAGCCTGCCAGGGAGGAGGTGCTGCCTCTGCTCCAGGAAGGCTTCAGCTCCACCACCACCCCTGAGCTGCCCTGGCTGTCCCTCAGGGTCCTCTCCCCACTCCATCCTGGGAAAAGCAAGGCAAGATCCAAGAACAGCACAGGGAAACCCTCAAGCCACTGGTTTTTTTTTGGTTTTTTTTGTTTAAAATATTTTATTGCAACATCACAGGGTTCTCTGGCTCTCCCAGCAGCGAGACTCGTGCGAGTGAACACCAAACCAGTTTACTCTTAAATTAATAATTCACTTTTACATATATATATTTATATATTAAAAAAAAAAAAAAAAGAAAGAAAGAAACAAACACATTTCCTTTTGCACAGGCAGGCTCTGTCCCAGCCCTCCTGCTCGCAGGAGGCAGCGGCTCCGTGGGTTTCCGGACCAGGCAGGCTCAGGGAGGAGCAGCAGCCCCACCTTTTTCCGCCGGATTTTTGTGGGGTTGGTGCCATCCAAAAGGAAGATTTCGACCTCCTTTTCCACATCCCCCACGGGAGGACAACAGCCACGTGTCCAGATGTCCCCAGGGAGCAGCAGATTCTGCCTCCCATCCCTGTGGAGTCTCTGGTTTCTCCTGGTTAATTCCACTCTGGATTTCTTATAGAAAAGCAGCATTATTTTTTTTTTCTTTTTTTTTGGCTTTTTTTTTTTTTCTGTTTTACAACAATTTTTATAAAAAACCTAACAAGGATCAACAACAACAATACAAAAATGCAATAATTGCTTTTTTTCCAACTCAAGTGCGCAGCAAAGTTTTCCACCCTCTCAGGAGGCAGCTCAGATCCGCGTGGATTTGAACACGGCTCCCTCCTGAGCACGATCTGAAATCCCTGCCTTGGAAGAGTGGAGATGCATCCCAGACTATAGCAGCACATTTAAAGGTTTTTCCTTAAATCCTAGTCTGATGCCTAAGCTACCAAAGGGCCCACTCTGAGGAGAGTCTGCCACTGCCCAGGGAGCCAGGGAAGGGGCAAAGGGGGAAGGCACTTTTTTGGGAAGGAGGGGAGAGCAGCCTCCAGGCCCCACCTGAGGGATTCCAGCTCTCCTCCCTCCCCTTTCCCAGCAGTGAACAATAAATTAAGCAGCTGAGGGGACCCTGAACTCCTCCCAAGGCACGGACGGGGAGCGCGTCCCCAAAATTCCCACATCCAACAGCAAAAACCAAACAAGGCCCCACGGCTCCTCTCCAAGCAGAAGCAGCTGCACGACTTCCCCTGGAGCTGTGGGAATGTGGCACGAAGCAATCAGGACCAAAGGGGCCACCAAGCAGCTGCTCCACGAGCCCCACGGGAGCTGGGGGTGACGAGGATTTGGCTCTGTGATTTTTGTCCCTCACGGGGCTGGAAGCGGCCACGAGCAGCCCGGAGAGCCAGGGGACACCAACACAGAAACGATTCCAACTTCATCCAGGCTCCTGCTCCCCGTGCCCTGGCACCACCTGCAGCAGCTCCAGGTGCCCAGCCTGGGAGGAGCTGGGTGGGCAGGGGGGATACAGCGAGCTGGGGGCGTCCACGGAGGGGCTGGAGCTCTGGCCAAGGGCTCTCGGTCACAGGTTGACGTCGGTGACGTCCGTGGGGGTGCTGGTGGGCTGGCTGCCCGCGTACGGCACCGCCTTGGAGCTGAACTCCTGCTGGGACTGGGATGCCTGCTTCAGGCTCTCGGCTAAGGCAGCCTCAATCTGCTCCTGACAGGCCTTCAGGCAGTCCTGGAACAGGGAAACACAACGGCAGCCATCAGATCTGTGCTCCTCCTCCTCCTCCTCCTTTAGGAACAGCTCAGCTGCACCTCTGACCCCCCAGAGTATGACCAGGAGATTTTCTCCATCTTTGTCCCTCCCCAGGGAAAGCCCCACACTGGTTGTCCTCCCTGCTGACCCCCCTGTTCTGCAGGAATGTTGTGTCCAGCAGAGCTTCCCAAAGTCCTGGAGCCAGGGTATGGCTCCAGCTGTGTGACCAGAGCAGGACAAACGTCCCAGATGCCACAGACGTGGCTGTCCTTGGGACATGGGTCCCCCTCCAGCCCACAGGAATTCTGCTGGGTGCCCCTGGGGCAGCAGGACCCTCCCTCCCTGACCCCAAACCCACCCTACAGCACCTCCCAACCACGCTGAGGCCACCGAGCTTCTCACGAGGTTTCCACCCTCCTGTCCCCTCTGTGACACCCCCAGGGGACCCAGAGCTGGGGGACACGCACAGGAACCTTGCCAGAAACGCAAACCCTGCTCTGGTTTTTCCCCCACGAGCTGTAAAGCAGGAGGAAACTCCCACTCGGACACCCTGGGGGCACAGCCCAGCCCGGTGACAGTTTGCACCTCAGGGACATTGTCACACCCTGAAATCTCTTACCAGGAATCCGCCGGCAGTTCTTAGAAACCGACAGAGGATGTGGCGAGCGAAAATAGCAACGCCCAGCTCCCCTTGCCCGGCTCCCCTTGCCCGGCTCCCCTTCCCCGCTTCCCGTCAGTGCAGCCTCCTCCTGCCCAGCCCTGCCTGGCCCTCAGTGCCAGGGGCACCTGGGCATGGGCTGGGCATCCTCATGGGCACCTGGGCAGGGGCTGGGCATCCCCTGGGCATGGGCTGGGCATCTCCATGGGCACCTGGGCAGGGGCTGAGCATCCCCCGGGCAGGGGCTGAGCATCCTCATGGGCACCTGGGCAGGGGCTGGGCATCTCCATGGGCATCTGGGCAGGGGCTGGGCATCCTCATGGGCACCTGGGCATCCTCATGGGCACCTGGGCACACTCAGGGAGAAGCAGCAGCACCAGTGGGGGAGGCTGAGCCCAGGTGCTCTCCCAGGAACCCAAAATTCTGTGTTGACATCCCAGGAGGAGCTGCCCCGGCCCTGCCCGGGCTGGAGCTGTTTGTGAGGCACCGCACACCTGGGCAGGGGGCACAGCAGATGCTGGGGAGGGACAGGAGGGGACAGGAGGGTGCTGGGCTCCATTTCAGCTCCTCTCCCTCCACAGGGCCCTCCCTGCTTCCCACCTGTTCCCTGCAGAGCCCTGACCTCCCAGAGCAGGTTGGGAGCAGGTGGCTGCACTGATTCTCTCTTTAAAAAAGGCCCCAGAGAACAAAAAAATTCCATCTGCACAAACAGAGCAGGAGCCTCCCCCTGGACAAAGCCACCCCAGGTCCTGGCAGGGGACTGTAACTGACCTGGGCAGGGGAGGAGATCAAAGGGGAGAGGGAAAGCTCAGATTGGAGCCCCACAGGATCCCTGTGCCCCCTCCAAGGGCACTGAGGGGCTGGAGAACCCCCCCAAAGCTGGAAGGTTTCATGTCCCAGCCCCTCCTTTCCCCCCCAGCTGCAACCAGACACTGAGGGGAGCAGATGCTGAGCCTGGCGTGTCCCTGTCCTCATCCCAGCCCGAGAACCCGATCCTGCCAACACCTGCCCGGGCAGGGAACAGATCCTGCCCTTTGTGTGCCATTTCAAAGGCTCTGAGCCCACCCTGCCCTGCCCAGGCTGTGCTTGGGATCATCCCACAGCCCTTGGTTCTCCTCAAACTGGGGCAGCACTGGCTGAACAGCAAAATTCCACAGAATCCCAGAGCAGCTGGGGCTGGAAGGGCATCCCTGTATCCTGGGCTGACCATCACCATGGCCAATCCATCCTGGGCTGACCACCACCATGGTCACTCCACCACCATGGCCAGTCCATCCTGGGCTGACCATCACCACCATGGCCAGTCCATCCTGGGCTGACCATCACCATGGCCAGTCCATCTCCATGGCCAGTCCACCACCATGGCCAGTCCACCACCATGGCCAGTCCATCCTGGGCTGACTATCACCATGGCCAATCCATCCTGGGCTGACCATCACCATGACCAGTCCACCACCATGGCCAGTCCATCACCATGGCCAGTCCACCTCCATGGCCAGTCCATCCCAGTCTCTCCCTCACCACGTTCACCAGGACCAGGTGACAGAGGTGCCACAGGTGCCACATCCAGGTGGGTCTGGAACTTCTCCAGAGGCACAGAGCCAACACCCTCCCCATGTCCCACCCTGATGGAGAACCCCTCCTCTGAGTGGCAGCAGGGCTCCCACAGCCGTGCCAGCCCCAGTGCCCACTCACAGCTCAGTGCCAGCCCCAGTGCCAGCTCCAGTGCCCACTCACAGCCCAGTGCCAGCCCCAGTGCCCACTCACAGCCCAGTGCCCCTCAGTCACTCACTCACTCCCTCACTCACTCACTCAGTCACTCACTCACTCACTCACCAGCTCGGTGCCCGTGGTCCTGGCCAGCAGCTCGGTGAGGGCCTCTCCGCTGCCGGGCAGCCCCAGGCCATGGGCGGCGGCGCCGATGCTGCCGGTGGCGATCATGGACGGTGGGTACATCACAAAGGTGCAGTCTGCAGCCAGCACGGGCGACAGGAGATGTTAGGGAGGGTCCAGATGGGGTTTGGGGTCAGGGTTTGCCCTGCAGGGCCCCACAGAGGGGTCTG